ACAGAACCTGGGGAAAGGGAGAGCCGCACTTGGGACCACAAAATAACGACAAAAATACGAAATAAATTACGTACAAACCCTATCTTGGACTCCAATATGAATGCATTGAGTAGATATATACTCTACTTAGGTGTACTATATACATATGTAGGTCAGAAGTAGTAAAACAATAAAGGAGGAGGAAGGGAAGGGCTGGGCTGCAGGAGCCAGTGGCACAGGCCAAGGCCGAACAGGAAACCCAAGTCTAGGGCAAGGGAAGTCAAAAAGGCCAGGCTATTAATGATAAATCATGGGGAATCATCCAAATTAGGAGATGCCCAGATCAATATGCTGTTCCGACGGCTTCCCTAGCTGAGTAAGCATGAGAAGCAAAGAAGCACTGCCAGGTGACAGCGGACAGTTTGGGCTGGAATTACAATGTTGATGGACGGGACTTCCGGCTTCACATTGTAATTCCAGTGCACGCTGTGGTGAGGGCATTACTCTCTTATGTACTCTCGTCTCGCTCAAACATGGATGTTTCATGAAACACTCCTTGGGGCTTCTTTTGCATGCAGTCCGAGTCGAAGAGTGCTAAACCAGCAAATTGTGGCTCCCGTACAGTGCTCGTGTCCAACTCGCCATACCAGCTGTGACCGATCTCTGTTCCCAGTCGTAGCAGTCTCGGTCACCAGTCTACATGACTTAGAGGTAATCCCATATAGCCAGCAACAGTTATGGCTACATGCATCCTACTCGGATGTTGCACCCTTCTCATGCACTCATGCGCGTTGAAAGTGTCGACACCGTACGAAATAAACCATAGGTAACACACTGTAGTGGCCAGAGACAAACCCATAGAACACCGCAGTTCACCTGCACCCGTGTGTGTGCGGTGTTTGGCAGGTACAGGTACAGGTTTGTCTCTGGCACTGTCAACCACTCGATTAGAACTCTCTAGGTTGCGCTTGACTTGTTAAGACGAAGCTGAAAAGGTGGCTAAGGGAGGGAAAAGACCAGAATCTGGGGTTTTATTCAAGTGTATCTACGAGTTTTTCTACATTCAGGCTTAATGAATCTACCAGAGCATGAATGACTCAAATTAATAAGAACAATGAGAACATAATTGCGTGATATAGAAAGCCAACCAATAAAACTGAGAGCTATTTAAGCAACATCCAAGGGTAACTAATAGAGAGATAAGGATAAAGAAATGGCTTGGTAATTGAGTAGAGTAATAATCGTGTGAGCATTACAGAGCAGCATAAGATCAACGACCAGTTTGAAGAGGAGAAACATGAATGAGGAGGAGATGATCTTGATAGAGATCAGTATTGTGGCCCGAGCAAAGTGGCATAAGTAAGAACGCCGGACCGGCAGCCAATTCAAATCATCGCTGATGATTGCGAGCAGCGTGGCGCATCAACGAAAAGCAACGGTGACCGAACATGGAGGTGCTGATGGCAACGACAAGTGCCAGGTGGAAGTGCCGAGTTAGGAGGACATGGCGCGTTAATGGAAGTGTCACTCTTGATCGGACGATACTTCGAAGGAGTTCGGACGGAGAAATGCGAGCAGCAAAGGGGCCTAGTGGCCGGTGAGATACTGCAGACTTATTCCTTGTAGGGAAGTGGTTGAAGCGGGAAGTAGACATAAATTCGGGAGCGGGGTATTCATCCTGCGAAGAAGCATACATGTTTTCACTGGGATCCACGATATAGGTGGCGGGAACATTTGGCGGTTTATGAGTGTGGCGAAGCTCGACATAATCCAGAAGGACTGTGGTGCACTGTCATAACCTCGGTCATGACACGCCACCTTGCGCCACACCGATACCCAAAACGTCTCATATACCGATATTTCTATTTTTCAATCACTTCTACCCGTACATCCACTTCCGAATACGACCCACACAAAGATCCACACTCTCTAGGACACTCTCAGATTTTCCCCCACCATTCTCTGATTTTATTCAACCTTCACTGCCCTCTCGAGTCGACTCTGGCTTAGTCTTTCGACCCCTCCTTCATCAATTATTCCCAGTGACATTTTTCCCATCGAACATCTTGTCGTCTCAAGTAGACATGTTTATACATCTCGTTCGGCAGGTCGCCTTGTTTCTTTGGGAATTCTAGTATTTTGGTCAGAGACCCAGTCCCGTTCGACATCGACAGAACCCAGCTGCACCGAGCTGTCGGTTTCTGTAGAACAATTCGAACTCCGCTCAGGCAGTCCTCCCGCCCACTAACTCTACCGAGCGACACACTAGGCCGATTACCTTCTAATAAAATACTACAATTCACCCTTGACCCCTCGCATTATTCTCCGGTCCTCCATTCATTTTTCTAACAAGTCCTTTGGTTACGAAAACACGATCTCGTCTCTCTCCTCGTCTCAGGGCCATCCAATAAGAGTATTGTCAATACTCTTCGACGTTAAACCACTCGGGTGCTAGGCTTTCGATATTGAGGGCGAGCTATTGGTCTAAGGGTTGTGTCTGCAGGCTAAAACGAGTCCGTTGATCCTGTCTATTGGATATGTTTCGTTTATTTCTTACTCAGCAGCCTATCCACTTTTCCTCCTAAGCTTTCTTCCTTGTTCTTGTGCTCGTTCTCATTGTACACTTGTAGTTCTCATTTCGTCGACCTTAGGCAACCTTCTACGATTAGTCGGACCGTGTCTCTTAGTGTTTTCTTAAAGTGCACGAACCTCTTGAACGTTGCTTAGTGATCCACCTTCAAACATTCTTACTGTAATATTCCTGAGGCTCCGAAACTCGACTCTAGTGTACCAGCGTCTCAAGTATAAATAGGTAGTAGCATGTACGCACATTTCATTAGTTTCTGGATCGTCTACACCTAGACCTTACATTTACTCACATCACCTTGTCCTCCATACCTTCCGAATATTATTCTCTTGAGCTGTGGGGTATCCTAGACCCTATCGCCCAGCCGTGACATGCACACTGAAAATAGCAGCGCTCTCATAGGATGTGTGACCGCACCAGATAAACCATAACTTCTGTGGACCAGAAACCGGGCGAGTCAAGAACGGAAGCAGAACTGTACACGAAAACATGGAGACAAATAACTCACCTCGTCTGTACACCACACAATTTACACCAATACCTCTTCCACGCTCGAGCTGGGCCCAGTGGCAGATCCCTGGAATGGGAGTCACACCTCGAGAATGCACCCGATGACATTACTTACAAGACTCGCCATTACGAGAAAATTGGTGGTGTGTTTCTTGACCTTGCCTTGACCTGGCCGAGCCTGAGTGAATTAGTTATGACTCAGTCGGCGAGCACTACAGTAAGACAGAGGGAGACCAGCCCTGGGGAAGGGAATGTACCATAGCAAGAGCCATATGAGGACCATGATTCGTCTTCGATAATGTCACCAAGCTCTTGACCAACCGGGGGAAGCAGGTAGCGGGAAATGTTTGGTCAAAACCAAGGTTGAGACGCCACACCGCTCATGCCGTCGGAGCTTCAAGTTGCCGCACTGCCGAGTGGCCCAGAAAATGACCCATCACCTTTCTACACGTGCCCCGGCCAGCATTTGGATTTAGATAATCACCGAAAAATGTAAGCCAGACACCGATAGGGTCAGGTCACTCAACTTGTGCGTGTTTGGAACCAAAGATAACTTGCGCGCGTTTGTGGTTTGTCGAAGTTGTGCGCAACCGGGACGCATCCGACCGAAGTTGCGCGAGTTTTCGCCAAGGACCGTAACGTGTGCGTATGTCGCACAACCATATTTTTTGCACAATATATCGCCCATAGCGATTCGTCCAGAAAAGATGGACTTTCGGTGGTATGTGGTGCTGTTCAACAGATCTTCGTACAGATCCCATCGTTATCGTCTTATTAACACAAGCGCTGCAGTACCAAGCCTATATGACAACCAAGTCAACCCCAATGCTCGTTGCGATTGACGGCCTTGTTCCCATCTCCCTTGGATTTGCCAGTTCTCCGATCTTCTCCCATGACGAACCACCTTCATCTGAAATTGGTCGTTTCCGTGGCATTCTCTTTGATCCTCTTTATCAACAGTTTCAGCTTCCAAGCAGTGCTTGCTATCTGACAGTCACGGCGCCCATGAAGAACTTCGGGGGCCTTGATATTTATTGGCTAAAGTGCTACTCGTACTGCCGTATTTTCGATCCCTTTGATCATGACTTCCATTCATTCAACCCTTGGAGCTCTCGAAATTGGGATACTATTGATGTTACTCCTATTTGGTATCATGATCACGCAGGCATACACTCATTACCAGTCAAAGACTACAACCGACAATCGTATTCTGCGAATATTGGTAGGTGAGAGTATTGTACGGTGGGGCACAGTGACTCATTCATTGTCGTTTACAGGTGCCCTTGATGCTGTAGGCAATGTGCTCCAGAACTCCCGATTTCCGATAGCTCACTGGTCTTTATCATCTGCAGCATCACTGAGCTTGTTCATACGGCCCTCATGTGTTCAGACTTCTACACCACGTCAATCAACGACTACGGAGACTTTCCGCGCATTGATGCCGCCCATTGGACAGGAGTCTTTGCTCAGCCTGTTTCCAGCCTTTCCACTGGCATCATTCAGGTTAGGTTTTCGGTGTCTCTCGATTATCGCAGTTCTAACCAATAGTTTCAGGCCTTCTATGCCTGGCGTATTCATTGTATTTCGAGGCGATGGGCCATCACGTTGTTATCGGGGGTGGGGTCGGCCGTTCACGTTAGCACGGCAGTATACGTGGCGATAGTATCACAGGGAATACCGCTCTTGTCTACGATATTCACCGACTATAGATGGCCCATTTCCGTCTGCATCGCTTCAGCAGTTGCGGTTGATGTGCTCAACACCACTGCTTTTTGCTACTGCCTATGGAAAAGGAAGTCTGATTTCGAACAGTGAGTATCATTTCTTCCACTATGCCCCTCGTATGACTTCATGAAAACACATACCTCAATAGAGACATGTCCAAGGGAATCCTTAACCTTCTGATCCGATGGACCATCGGTTCGTGCTCTCCTAAACACCACAATTTCCCGTGCTTATCCAGTCACTCCTCGCCAGAAACAGGGATGTTAACCTTGTGAGTCATGCTATCTTGGTCAACCACTCTGGCATTTTGATAATGGGCATCCGTACCATCGACTCCTTCAAATAACAGCATCTTCACTTCGTTGGAGCTGATATTTGTGCGTTTGTATGCCTCTCCATAATTGCCGGTCACTTACCTTCCGTTATAAAACGCAGTTCCTGGTACTACCAAATACATGTGAGCATCATTTCTGCGGCGATTGAAACCCCTTGCTGATTCATGCATACGCCTAGCCATGTTCTTGTGCTTCATATCTTTCGGCACGAAAGGTGAGTTACTCTTCTACTGTCGCTTTGCCTCTACTAATGAGGTTTTTTTTAAGTTTACTCCAACTCTCTTCTTGCGTTGTAAGCTCCCTGTGTACTGCGCTCTGGATACTATTACGGTCCTCACATCAATGATGCCGCAATTCTAGATTGAACGGTCGATCGGCCCTCGTAGAGGTGAGCACAGAGTCTTCAGCCGCAATGGGGATGAGATTTTCCACAACATATACAGGGGCCAGCGTAGGTGTTACATTATTCTCGTCTGTCAATACCTACTAATCTAGGTCGATACCACGCAACTAGACACACTCAGCAACACCACTACGACACGGAATCTACACTACTTCATTATCGTCTTTCCCTACTTCCCTCCAAGCGTCGAACCGCTCCCTTGTATAAATAAAGGGGTTTCGAATACATAATTCCTTGAGTACACAATTGTATCTAATGTCTTGAGCCTTTGCGCACAGTTTACGCTTACTCCCCATATCTCATTCTGTTTGTTCGAATATTACTGGTCTGACACGGCACGGTTTACTGTGGCGCCGCCACTCAGCTCTGGAGCCAATCCGCTCAGTGCCATGGTCATGCGTACTTCAACAGCCTAGTTCACCGCGTTACAGCGTCTCTTGGTTGTAATCTCTTTTTTCGAAGGCAAAGCTCCCACCTGCACTCTACCAGAAGCTCGCAGACCCTTTGGTCACCGAGCTCTCTTCAGCACAGACAGGCTCATTTCCTTTCTTCCGATCGCGTCCGGAACAAAATCATCAGTTCTCATCTTCACGAGGAAAGGACTGTAAGGGAAAGGCTACGAGTATAACCCCTCATTCGTCCTCTAGGTCTGCTACTCTGTTCGATGTTCCTAAGTCAAAGTTGGCCCCATTGTCCCGTTTCACCCTCAGCATCAAATGCGAAAACACAGCATCGCAGTGTTGAGAATCTGTGAGATCCACCGAATTGGTGCCTATGTCACTTTGCTTGATAGGCCTTCTGGATAGGCTCACGGCTGCTGGCACCCTATCCATCGACCCGTTCCACTACCATCTCGCCACATACTAGAAGAGTCGTCGCGGTGCGAAGCTTCGGTCCAACTGTGGCCCTGGTCACTCTTGTAATGCTTCCTCGTGAGCTCGGTCTGGGACATCAACACCTTAGCCTCGACTTACAGTGGCGCACAAAAGTAATGCAGGTTCCTCGCCACCTGCATTGTTTCGTGCACACAGCTACAGGGTCTGACTCTCGTTGGATGATGTTATAGGCAAAAGTGTAGTCTATAGTATGTAGTTTATGTATACAAAAACACTCGTGAGGTTGTGCTCAGTATGTGTGCTCAAAGAGCCCAGAAAGGCGGGAAGAGCCATAATCACTGATATATTTGTGGGCCACATTCTGCATTCATCGTCAAATAACAAGTGAAGTGTGCAGTTATAAATTACAGGAAAATCAGTACTTGGTGTGTCCTCCCCTAGCTGCATTGAGAGCCAGTAAACGACGAGGGAGAGAGCGATACAACTTCCGAATAAATTCCATATCCATCCGATTCCACTCCTCCTGAACCCATGCCCATAACTCGTCGGCATTGCGTGCATGACGATTGCGACGATGAATCTTGTCTTTGATGTACTTCCAGACATGTTCTATAATATTCATATCGGGAGAGGAAGGTGGCCAGGGGAGTAAATTGATGTCATGATCCCGAAACCAGTGGCGGGTAAGCCGTCTGCAGTGCTTTGGGTCATTGTCTTGCTGGAATATTATAGTCTTGTGATCGAGGTCGTTGTCGGAGAGTGAGGGAAGGAAGGAAGACTCCAAAATGGAACAGTATTTGACAGCTGTCATGTTGCCCTCGATCCGGTGTAATCTCCCAACTCCTTCCCAACTGATGCATCCCCATACCATAATATGTCCTCCGCCGTGCTTTACTGTTCTCTTCACTTTTCCCGCCCTAAATGCCTCCCCAACCCTTCTCCTGCAGTAACGTCTCCCATCCGATCCCCAGATCTCAATCTTGGTCTCATCTGAAAACACCACCTGCTTCCACCGACCCAAGTCCCAATCAGCGTGATCAGCCCCCCACTTCTTCCGCTTCAAAACATGAATTTTCGAAAGAAATGGTGTATTTCTTCGTACACGACCAGGGAGACCCATCGAAGTGAGTGCACGGCGAACCGTCATGGGTGAAACCCGCGGGAAAAGTTGGCGTTGCGTGTCTGTGGCATCGTAGGTATGATTCCGATAGATTGCGAATGCAGCTCGACGCTTATCGCGATCCGAAAGGGCTCTCGGACGACCTGTGCTCCGTTTGCGATAATAGGGATCGGGGTTGGTGAGCATCTGATGGTAGTTTCGGGCCACAGTTGTTGCGTCCATCCTGAGATCCTTTGCGATCTTTTCGAAGGTCTGTCCCTTCTTGACGCGTTCGACAATCCGAATTCTTTTGGTAGGTGTGCAGACAACCATAGCAAGAATGTAGTACTGTGTAAATGAGAACAGTTCTGTGAAAGTGCACACAACGTTGTAGACGAAGAGAGCAACACGTTGCGTTGGTAGACGGTGTGGAGGTGATCAACACGCGTTAGCTATTGGTGCCACAATCTCATGTTTTAGTCGTTCGTCGCCTCTCTCGGCAGCAGCGTGAGCTGCAATGACACGACTACTATTCTAATATACTTTACAGGTTCTGAACTACATTACTACATAGCTACATGAGGAATAGAATCTGTCTATTCCGAATCACAGCGATATTATTGCACGTGCAGCGCCACCTGCAATACTTTTGTGCGCCACTGTAAAGCGAGATCGCTTCTGACGTCTGATCAAAATCCATCTCAGTCCAGTTTACTTCCAGAGGGATTTCGACCGTAGAGCTGAACCAGTTCCAGATATATAGCGATAGGCCGTAGCGGGTGATTTGTTTCCTCGCGAAGTATACGCGCAGTGGACGTTGAAGATTACACCAATTTCATCACATTGTCCTGCTTCCCAGGCAGCGTGGAGCCACATATACAAGGGAACAATGAGCGGTATCCACGGTATGATGAACGAGCAGTTTACGGAACAGACGGCTCGGGCAGTGGTCCAGCTGTGTTTCCAGTCACAAAGGAGAGCAAGGCTGGTGAGTAAGTGCTGAGAAGAGGGATCACAAGGGTGAACGGGATGCCATGGGCTTCGTAACGACGATCGTCCGCCATCCTCCATGCGTCTATTTCTCGAATCAACCACGATATGATGCAGCTGGCTATACAGCCACTGAAGACCTCACATTGCCGCTGCAGCCGTTTATGGCGAGACTGGGGGGAGCGAATGAACTTTAGAACATAGGACGGCGCGCCGTTCGGCGAATGAACGTCGGCATCAAACCAGCCACTACATGTGGTGCAACAATAGCCGCAAAGGTGGCCTACCCATCGCATACCCTGTGTTATGATTTAAATCTCTTAGGACGACACCACGACAATTCCCAAACGCGACACAATCACGAAAGAGCGGAAAGATGCATCCAGAGCAGATTGAACTATGGCGACGAAAGCACTCCCGCACATAAATCTTCCAAACCTCAGCACTTATAGCGATCAGGTGCGTGGACATCATCTCGTCGAGGTGATCCTGACGAGGGAAACTAAGAATGATACGGAGTGCTCGCTGAGCATATGAAGATAGTTCAAACGCAGGATAAACCGAGGGGAAAAAGTGAAGGACGCACGAGTGCCACCGAGACTCAGAGAACGCCACAAGAAACGCTGTGCGAGCACTAGCAGCAGCTCTCCTCAAGATGTGCCAAAATTTAATAAGCAAGGAGACGAATAAACCTGAACAAAGTGGAGGGTGTCGGCGACATCATACGTCGTTCGAATGGATCTGTGCGTACAGAAATCTCATCGTAGAATTCGACGCGGATGATCTGTCGCCATCCGCTGTGCCCGAAAGGACAGATGGGAGCGATGAGGGCCTGTGGAGGTTGCACGCATGAAGAATCGCAGGGGTAGAAGAGACCAGGAGGATGTGCGCATACGATAAAGAGTGTTTGTATAGAGCACAAGACAATTACGAGGGAGAAGAGAGATGACCCGTTGTTAGGAGTAAGTGTCGGGCTCACACTGGACTCATTCTGTTTGAGGAGTTATGTAGGCGAGTACGTTAGCGAAGGGAAGTCAGAGGTATGATGGTCAAAACAAGTGTAATGAACGTACCTATGGCATAATTTGGAAAATAACGCAATAAAATGCAGAGCAACAACTTCGAACACGATCTCCTGAACTAGCAAACACCACGTCACAAGAGCTACAAGATGAATCGATGTCTGTGGGAGTCCTCCGCACCCGATGAACGATGAAGACCCGCTCTGGGAGCCTCTATCTGAGCGATGGTACACGAGCTCGCGTCAAAAGATATGTGGGAGATGTCGATTCAGGAGAAAGTAGGCGAGATAGAGCGTTAGGATCGAAATGGAGCTGAGCTCTTTTTATACACGGACGGCAGTGGACCTTCGGGATGAATAAGTGACAGCGGCATTTTGTCTGGAGTGATTACGGACGACAGTCGCGACGATGATAATTCCAAGCATGATGATGATGTGGTTTTGAAACGAATGGCGAGGGTTGCGGGGAGGAAGATGGGGTCATGGTAGACGGCACCAATGCGACGGAGATGCAGCGCCGAATCCCGCAGAATATGAGCTCTGGAGACGAAGGTGGCAAGATCGAAGGGAGGAAAATAGAAAGGAATACGAGGACTGACAACGAAAAAGATGAACAAGTTAGGAAAGGCGTAAATAGGACGTACCTTCGTTGCTGTCGGCCCCAAGTGCACCAGTACATTCACTTCCCTAGCAAGCATCTATTCACATCGTCCCTCAATTCCCGCGAGCGAACATCAACCAAAACGATACAGGCATTCAAGGTGAGCCTGTTGCTACGAGCTCTGCACCAGAACATGCGGAAGATGAACATGCGGAAGATGTCGTGCACTGTTGGAAGGCGGGTGTGAGTCCGACCGGATAAGTCGTCCCTCTCATTATCGCATGTTACGAGCGAATAACTTACAGTATGTTTTCAGTATGACGTTGCATGTCTTGCCAACTTAGAGAGAGAAGATTTGCGCCTCCTACGACAGTGTACAAGAAGAGACGGTACTAGGGAATGCTGCGCTTGGTGTGTCGGATTCGTCGACGCATATGTGTGACTATCCACCACAGCGACTGCCTTGAGAAGCGTGCCAGTCGTGGCAACTTGAGACAGACTGAGGGTGTCGATGATGGTTGTTTCAGAGAAGTGTCGTCGCGCTGTTGTGGCGTCCTTTGCAGCCAAGTGGCACCAACTGGATTTGCAAATTTACCTAATCCTGTTTTTTGGATGCGAGAAAAAAAAATCGACTCTTGCTCATCCCGCGACCTCCTGGATCCACATCACCACAAGAAACACTCACTCTTATCACGTAAGGGAACTCCTTCATGATAATATTCAAGTTCTGACCTGCGCATAAGTACTCTGGCCTCGTACGCTCGACCCATAGCATCCCGCACCCTCTGTTTGTCATCAGCGAAGCTGATAGTCTCTTGGAGAGCTAGCCGAAGCTTGGAGGAGCTTGCTAGCGCTTGCAAGGCTCGCCAAGGGGCTCAAGGGGCTGTCAGCTTCGCTGATGGTGCTCGTCTTCTCCGAGTCACTGTCCAGCTGGATGTACCCATTTCTAGCGTGCTCAGGCAGTTTCCTCTCGTGCTTCTTCTCTGTCACCAGATTCTCAGCTCTCGAACCAAAACGCGGGCGTGACTACGATTCTCCTGCTCTTTCCAGTCTCTCGTACAGCGCCTGGTCCACCTAGCATCGTTTTCCCCAGGCTTGTTTGTCTGATTCGAACGTCCGTCGAACTTCGCCTACGTATCCCTCGTCCCAAGACCCGGCCCTCCGTGTTGCTCTTCCTCCCCATAAATGAATCCCATGGCCCAGAACACTATGCAGACCTTTCCGTCCTCTCCTACCCGGAATGTCGAACTTCTTTTGTCGGAACATCCTCCTCTGTCTCTGCTTTGCGGCTTTATGTAACTTGAGCTCACCATCCATTACTCAAAAATTGTCTCACCAGTTTTTTCTCCGCCGTCTTCCTCCGCCAGATTTACCAAATCCAGAGCTCGGAGTCTTCCCCTGACGTCTGAAGTAGATCTTCGGCTGCTTTCGCTGCCCGAGCCTATGCACCATTCTCTCCATCCATCTCTCTTCGCTGTCCAGGATGGTCTCCGACGGATTAAACCTGACCCGGCTCTCAAATCGTTTATTATCTCAGTAGGGCATGTTTGGAGATCAGTAAAAGCGTGGTGCGGCATGAAAAGGAAGTGATTAGTGCACGGCTGTACTTGCTTCGTAGCGAGAATCTTGTGCGCGATGAGGGTGGAGAATGTAGGTGATGCAAAGAAACGAGAGCGACAGTTAGGTGGCTCGTGAACTTGTTATAGAGACGAGTAAGGTCATTGGACGGAGCTTTGGCGAACGTGTATAGGTCAACAGACGGGGGGATGATGGTGTGTCCCCGACACGAACACCAACGAGTCAAGTTCGTCCTCGAATAACATAGTTCTGAAACTTCAAGCTACCAATACCGCACCGACACCATTTCAATGTTCCACTTTGCTTAGTTTGAATGTTGACCGTTCACAGTCACTCACCTTCTGATACTGCTGTGGGCTATGTCCAGTATATACTCTGGATTGTGCTCATTTTCGTTCCCGCTCAGAACTAAGATCAGTTCAACTGTATTACACGGCGACAACACAACACAGTACAGTCCGATATAAATACAGGATACTTTCGTTGCCGCCGAAGTGGGCTCACTCTGCGAAACTCGTGCCCGTTCTATATCCCGGTCAACCGTCGCAATCATATTTCATCATCACCCGGAATCCCTTCTTCTTCACCGGGGATACTTTCCGCGTCTTTTCCATCATGTGAGTGGTCTTCGGGTGTCTTGATGTTGTTCCCCAAGCTACTGGTGCTCACCTTGATTGCTCCATTCTGTAACAGTAATTTCATAATATGATGGTGACCGCCTTCCGACGCTGCATTGAGTGCATTGTTGTATCTGCCACCCTGCACATTCACCTCGGCCCCCTTCTCGAGTAGCAGCTGCACTGTGGCATACTTACCGCTGGACGACGCTGCCTGGAGTGCATTGCCATAGCCTCCACCCTGTGCATTCACATCCGCCCCCTTCTCGAGCAGCAGCTGCACTGTGGCATTATTACCTCTCCACGACGCTGCCTGGAGTGCATTGCCAAAGTATCCACCCTGCGCATTCACCTTGGCCCCCTTCTCGAGCAGCAGCTGCACTGTGGCATGATTACCGCTGAACGACGCTGCCTGGAGTGCATTGCCGTAGTATGCACCCTGCACGTTCACGTCGGCCCCCTTCTCTAGCAGCAGCTGCACCGTGGCATGATTACCGCTGGACGACACTGCCTGAAGTGCAGTGCCAAAGTATCCACCCTGTGCATTCACATCCGCCCCCTTCTCGAGCAGCAGCTGCACTGTGGCATAATTACCGCTGGACGACGCTGCCTGGAGTGCATTGCCGTAGTATCCACCCTGCACGTTCACGTCGGCCCCCTTCTCTAGCAGCAGCTGCACCGTGGCATGATTACCGCT